TTTTGACGCGGGTCTTACCCCGTGTTGAGATTGCGCTGGAACCCCCATTCCCTATACTACTACCAATAGTACAGCAGGGGGTGCACAAAAAGGCCGTCGAAACGATGTACAAGGGGGCGGTGGGTTGGGGGCCCCCTTAGTTCAGTCTTTTCTTGTCCGAGACGTGCTTCTCTATGCAGGGGGTGCACAAAAAAAAAAGGTTGTCGAAAATGGTTGTCGAAACCATGTACAAAAATATACTCTTCTAATGCATAGATCGTAAATTGAACTGAATTCTTTACATTCGCACATCGTATATAGGACGAATATTTTGGGAATCGTGATTGTAAAAAATCGTTTTGGCACGGGTGATTGGAAAAAATCGGAATTATGCCTAAAAGCCCGTAGGAATTGATCGGGCAATACCCGGCTGGGCCAAAATTGAAAAAGTGACGGCAAACCCCCGTTAAATACGGACAGGAAATCACGATTCCCCCTACCTGCTGCTGCTTACTCAGAACATCTTTATTAGTTCGTATTTTTAACTCGTGGATACGCGAAGCGTAGAAACGAGTTATTGTGAGAGGTCTGAATATGCAAATGTGTCACTCGTTCACTCGCTCACTCACTAAGATGTCAGCAGATCGATAATTAAACGTTTAGCAATCGTTCTACGTCATCATAAGTTACACGACACTCAACAAAAACGAAACTCTTATTCAGTATAGACTTCTTGGACAGGGTTTTCGCAAGATTCGTATTGTTATTGTGTATCGTCTGCAATATTCTCCCAATCATCCTGTGACTACTGGTGTATTCTTTGAGGAGGTTTCTGATTATCTTGAGTCTATAATTCTCTCATCTGAGCCCCTCCTAATAACTGGCGACTTCAACATTCATGTCAACGTCGTTGGGGACCCGCACAGATTGAAACTCTTGAGTATTGGAGACAATGGGTTTACAACAGCATGTTATAACACCAACTCACTAGTCTGGTAACACATTGGACCTAATCATAACACGACAATGCGAGGACTTGGTCAAGGAAACTCCGATATCGGATTATCACATTTCCGATCATTGGTCTGTCATATGTCGGTTAAACCTCGACAAGCCTAGGATTACAAAGAAAGCAGTGACCTTCAGGAGGATCAAAGCCGTTGATCTGGGAGCACTGTCTGATGAAATTTCATTTTCGGATTTATGTACAAATACCCCGGACACACTGAGTGATCTTGTTACTTGTTATAATTCCACTCTTGCGTCTGCCCTTGATCGGCATGCACCACTCGTCACAAGGACCATACCAGCTAAGCCCCTCTCGTGCCATGGTTCAACGATGACATTAAGGAGGCTAGAAGACATAGGCGTAGAGCGGAGAGGAGATGGAGGCGTACTGGATTGGATGCTGATTGGCTGACAAAGCTACCAAGAGCAATACCAATATTCTTATGAATGAGGCGCGTAAAGCGTTCTTCAAAGGCTTCATCGAAGAAAAYAGTACCGATCAGAGGAAACTGTTTTCGGCAACTAAGGGACTGTTTGGAAGAGAGAACGAGATTGGGTATCCTCAATTCAAGGATAAGGCTGTCCTTGCCAATAAATTTGGCGACTTCTTTGCTCAAAAGATCAACACCATTCAGACCAAACTTGACAACATGGTTTCTACCTCTCCCCCTTACATTGAAGCGAGAATATTTCTGAAGCACCCTCTTTTGACAAGTTTAATCTACTGAGCCAAGACATTGAGGCCACGCCCAAAAAGTCTTGCTTGCTCGACCCTATACCAACAACACTYGTAATCGGCTGTATCGATGTTCTGTTGCCAGTAATTACAAAGATCATTAATATATCGCTACAGACTGGAGAATTTGCTGTTCAATGGAAATGTGCGTTGGTTCATCCGTTACTCAAGAAACCCAGGCTTGATTTGATACGCAAGAACTATCGCCCTATAAGTAACCTGCAGTACATTTCTAAGCTTACGGAGAAGGCTGTTTTCCAACAAACGCATGGCCACATGGTAATCAACTCGTTATATCCTGAATTTCAGTCGTCGTACCGCCAACATCACAGCACGGAAACAGCCTTGCTGAAAGCATTGAACGATGTTCTTTTGAACATGAACTCTAAGCATGTCACACTTATGGTTCTGTTCGATCTCAGTGCAGCATTTGACACCGTCATGCACGACATTCTGTTGGAGAGGCTTGACAAGGACATTGGAATGCGCGGCGTTACGCTTGACTGGTTTCGTTCATATCTCTCTAATCGATGCCAACAAGTCTGTATTGATGGATCTCCGTCCAAGCAATGCCATCTCAACTGTGGGGTACCACGAAGTTCCTGTTTGGGTCCTCTACTATTTGTTATGTATACTTCTACGCTGTTCAAGGTTATTGAACGTCATCTCCCAAAGGCCCATTGTTATGCCGATGATACTCAGCTATACGTGAGTTTTAAGCCTGATGATGCTAACGCTCAGGATGAGGCCATTCGCGCAATGGTGGATTGTATTAAAGATACAGTCCTTTGACTAAACGTTGTCGTTTGATCGGCTTCACCCCTACGCGCCTTGACCGAAAAGGATCATGGGGATAATTAATTCACAGTTACTAGCTGCCGCATATGTTATCTAACACGTCTTGAGCTCGCTGTTTTCGATCCCATTTAATTTGCTAAAACCATGCCCCGAGCATACGGCGAAGATTTAAACTGGCGAGCAGTTTGGATGACGCACGTTCTGGGTAATATACCCATTATCCTTTTCGGTCTAGGAACTGGCTGATTAAAGGCAGACTCTTACTAAATGATGATAAAACTGAATTTCTAGATTTTGGAACTCGTCAACAATTAAATAAATTAAATCCGTCAGTACTTCATGTAGGTGATCATACGATTGATCCTTCTGTTAACGTTAGGAACTTGGGAACTATTTTTGACAATTCAATTAGTATGGATGCTCATATAAATCAAGTTTGTAAGGCTGCTTTCTATCATATTCACAATATTCGCAGTACTGATCCTTTAGGGACTTTCCCAAATTTACTTGATACCATGGCAATAGATGGTAAAGTACTGTTATCATAGGCTATTGTTGCCATCAGTGGCTGTGGCTCAAGTTAATTTGGCAATATAGGGTAAGCTTCTGCTGGCGAATAAAGGGTGCTCTTTATGAACTTCGAATAGTCTGCACCTTACCTGGGCTTTTTGACCATAAGATCTTGTACAGGCTTGTTGGTAATTTTTCTTTCTCTTGGCACACTCCGCCTTTGGGGAATGCTGGTGCAGGTCAACTCATCTGGTATGGCCTTGTACCCAAGTGTCTTACAATGAGCCATGTAAAACATTAATGTAAGATATGGTCAGCGGTAACATAGTTCGCCATGCGCAAGAACGTAACAAGAACGTAACAAGAACGTAACAAGAACGTAACAAGAACGTAACAAGAACGTAGCAAGGACGTTAGAGGATCTAAAGTCATTATTGTAGGCCAAACTTGAGGTAAATTCCGGTTTTCTTACGTTCAGATTTGTAAGTCTTATGTTAAGAATATAACTTTCTCGTTGTAGAACCGTACAATAGCGTATAAACCATACAAAGGTCATAAACTGTACAAAGTCTTCRATGACGAGATGTAATGAGAGTCGTTACGAATTAAATGAAAACTGAGTTACGCGTGTCTAAGTCTGGTCCCTACAATTAATCCAACAACATGGTGACAGAACCCCCCAGCACCAGCTACACACGAACAACGGCCCTTTATTGACTTGGATGCCAAATCTATGTCAGCTTCAAGAGTGTGTGGAGGCTCGCTTTTCTTCATCGATCGATAACATCTTGAATTCAGTTTATCTTTCTCTTGCGAATAGCGCACTAGAATGAATATCCAAAGATATGAATTAAATTAAAAGTTATAAACATAAACATGTCTTACAAACATATAAAAACCATCATACAAAGTTTAAAAACATCTTACCTTTAATGTTATGCAAATAGCCTGGTTCGGCACAAAATTTGTAGGCCTTCGTGGTGCTTGAACAGCCGGACTCCTTTCGAGCATATTCCTCCACATCTCCAAATGTAAGCTCAGGAAGTCTCGAAATATCATGCAATTCATCTGGAATCATTAAATTCGAAGATAAATAAAGTTCGAGAAGCATTTTAAGCACAAAAACAGTCTATAAATTGTTGCCGCCAGCAGTCGGCGAAGATATCACACCTCGAGTTTTAAAACAAAAATCACGCCTCAAATGCTAGCAAATATGAGTTTTTATTACCATAAAGAGGATCTGTAGGTATATCTACATTCATTTCAAAAGAATCTTGACAATTGAAGCGAAATTTTGAGGTTAAATCGGGGTTTGAATGAGTCATAAACATACCTGAGAATTCCGCCATTTGCACACGCGTCTTCGGTCCACGGCGACCAGAATAAAGACATAAAACTCTCTCTTGCGGCCAATCTTTATGATAAAAATTATCGCCAACGATAAAAAAACACTTCTTTCAACTTTATACGGAAGATCGGGTCAAACGAGACAGAACAAAGGTTAAAAACAGTCACTATAGTCTTGGTATTGCTACGCTTCGCCACTCAAAGTCTTATTGTTGTCAAGGAATGCGTGGTTAGCTTGCCCATCACGGGCTTGTTGCTATGGGGCAAATTGACACGTGATCAATTCCTGCAAATGGGCCTATTAATTGACTAATGATTTCATTAATCGAATCTAGGGGTCAACGCTTGAGCTTGTTTGACTGTAAAGACTTGAATGAAGACAAATTAAATAGAAATTTTAAACCAATTTAAACCAATCTCAACCAATTTCTATAAAACATTCGCTTAGTTCACAGTGTAAAAAACTTCAGCCAACAAATCGATTGTATTAAAGGGCCGTGACCCTTAAAGGTCAAGATAAGTAGTAACGCATAACGCGTTAGCCAAAAAGAATGATTCCTAAAATAAAGCACTCGGCCTGACTTTTAAATTAAAAACAAAATCCAGGATTCGTTTTTCAGAAGACTTAGCAAATAGTCCGTCGAAGTCGAACTCGTCTTTCGTAATTGAAGTGGCTTCAGACAATCAATTCATCACAGCCAATTCGCTTCCAAACTCAACAAAATAACAAAGAATTAAACGAAGTAGGTGTTAAAAGGAAAATAAAAGGACGACTTAGAGTTTGCCTAATGGTCGTGGGTCGTGGGTCGTGGGTACAAAGTCGTGGGTCGTGGGTACAAAGTCGTGGGTCGTGGGTACGAAGTCGTGGGTCGTGGGTACAAAGTCGTGGGTTCCATTTTTTTTCCAAATTTCCAAATTTATCATTTCCTCACTATACTTCTAAAACGAGATTGTGTGACTTTCTTCCTGTAAATTCGCGAACTCGACTCGAAGTATTAACGTAAAGCTTATAGCTTTTTGTCTCTATTATTAGTTTATAGTTTTTTCTATAGGTTTAAATATCGACTCTACTATGCAAAGTGGTTCTCAGTAAGGTGGCTCTCAAAACTGCGCAAGCTCCCCGCGTTATAACTCAGGGTTTTTCCTTTTTTTGAAAAGGCAAATCAAGCTCTGAACCAGGATTAACCTAGCCTCCTTCGCAGCCGTTCTTAGGGTCGTCACGCAACTTTTTCTCGAAAACAAGATCACATCACTCCTATCTTGTGCAATCTACACTGGCTACCTGTGGAACAGCGCATAGTTTTCAAGATTCTCTTGTCACTCAATTTGGGGGTTGGGGGTATCGCAACCTCCATGTCATTCCTGAGACTAAATGCGACCGAGATTCTTTTGCCCACAAATTTCCCCCCTGAACCCCCCCCCCCCCCACCTTCAAAAAAAAAACCTGGATCCGCCCTTGTATTGGTAGAAGTCTTGAATTTTCCGGTTTAAAAAACGAAAAACGAACTGTGGAAAACTTTCGATTCTCTAATTTGTAAGAAATGAACTATCAAATCCAGCAATTATATATATTACGATTACTTTAGAAACAACCGAAAGAACATTGTTAGCACAGCTCACTATGTAGGTTATCTGTAGTTTTTATTCCGGTCAAGAAAATATTTTTTTTCCTCGATAATATTTTATCGATAAATAATATAAAGGACAATTTTTATATTTGGAATTTGTCCGTCGTTTGCTAAAATCACTTAACATCGACGTATCAACAATCTGACAATATTTAAACGCTGCAAACTTAATTATTAATTTTCTAAAGCTTTCTTATTATCTTGATCTTGAAGTTCTTTCGTGTTATTACGTTGGTTTTCATTCTCAAAAAAAAAAAAAACTACAAAAAAACATAGCATTTTTTCGTCTTGGCTGTAGACCTTTTACTAGTCCTCAGAAGTATTCAAGCTTATTTGAAGAAGTTTGAAGTTTATAGTTTTATTGATCACTACAAATTGAACATGGTCTTGTATAATGCAGTCTTGCTGTTGAATCCATATATTTTCGAAAGAGGCTTCATATTTCCCCTAAAATTGTCCATAAAAACAGAATTTAACCAGCTAAAATTCATTGATTCAACCCGCCGAAAAAAATATACAACATCTTACAACTGAGACGGCGTCACAGCCACCAACCAATCTGCGCGCGAGTTATTTTTAGTCTAGCTAGCAATCTGATGAACCAGTGAAATAGATCGAGTTGCACTCCCCTAGTAATTTTACCCCTGATATTGGCCTTGAATGCGTTGTGGTGGGATAAGATAAGATAAGATAAGATAAGATAAGATAAGATAAGATAAGATAAGATAAGATA